TCACACTCTCAGTGAAGACACACTTCCATGGAGGAAACAGAGAGCCTTGTTCCTCCTTGATTACTGCCCGTAACTGAGCTTGACTCAGGTGAGAAGGTGTGGTGAGGATTCTTGTAGAGTCCTGTTTTGACAGAAAAGGCATGATTACACATAAAAGCCGTAGGCTGTCTGACTAGATCCACCACACCTAGAAGCCTGCCCGCTCAGACCAGGATGTGGCAGTCATAGCACCACTGGCCCACCTTCATTTCCAAAAATCAGGTTGCCAGGCGTGCTGACATAGTTTCATGTTTGTAATAATCCCGTGAGGAAATGTAGAGCAAGTCATCTTATTTGACTCATAGGAAATTGAGACCATGGGTAGTTTAGTAACTTGGGAGGCAGAATTGCAAAGTAGTTTATAGCACAAGCCATGGTGTCGGATGGATCTGGGTTGCATCCTAGCTTTGCCGTCTATCAGCTGTGTGACTTCGGGTACTTATATCACCTCTCTGAGCAACAATTAAAACAGGTATAATGATGCCTGTACTCACAGGCTTGAGGGGAAGATTAAATAATGTATGCAAAATGGTTGACCCATTGCTTGGCATTCCAGAAATGGCAGCTGTGAGTCATGCAACAAATATTTATTGAGCATTTACTATGGACTGAGCACCTGGTGCTGAGGATGCAACAGTGACCACAGCAGTCAAAAGTCCCTATTCTCATGGCCAGGCACAGTGGCTCACGCCTGTAATACCAGCACTTTGGGAGGCTGAGGTGAGAGAATTGCTTGAGGCTAGGAGTTTGAGACCAGCCTAGGCAACATAGCGAGATCTCGTCTCTACGAAATATCAAAAAATTAGCCAGGTATGGTGGTGCTTGCCTGTAATCCCAGCTACTTGGGAGGCTGAGGTAGAAGGATCACCTGTGCCCAGGAGGTCAAGGCTGTAGTGAACGGTGATCATGTCACTGCACTCCAGCCTGGGCAACAGAGTGAGACCCTGACTCAAGAAAGAAAAATCTCTGTTTTCATGTTGCTCAGAATCTCATAGGGGAAGACAGACAATAAACAAATATACAATGAAGAATCTATTATGTGTCAGTAAATGCTATGAAGAAAATTAAAAAGGAGGATGCAAGGAACACTTCTTGGGGAAGGGAGAGGGAGTTAATGTTGCCCTTTTAAGTAGGGCAGTCAGGGAAAACTTCCCTGAGGAGACAGTGGAGTTAAGATCTAGGGAGCTAAGGGCTGGAGCAAATAGGTATAGATGCTCCTCAACTTACAATGGGGTTACATCCTGATAAACCCATTGTAAGTTGAAAACATTGTAGGCTGGGCACAATACCTGGCACCTGTAATCCCAGCACTTTGGGAGGCCAAGGCTGCAGGATTGCTTGAGTCCAGGAGTCAGAGACCAGCCTGGGCAACATAGTAAGACCCTATCTCTACGAAGAATTTAAGGTGGGTCCTGAACATTCATCACAATACTACAAGAGAGGGATCGGCAGTAGCAGAACACTGCCAGGGGGTGGAGGAAGAGGCGAAACATCACTAAGGGTATCTGATCATAAACCAGGGGAAGTGAGGACCAGTTGGAGGGCCAAACTTCACCTACACGTGACAACTTATGTGCCTAATTCTCACTTGTACCCCATATCTTTACAATAAAAGAAAGATTGCTGAGGCAGGAGGATTGCTTGAGCCTAGCAGGTTGGGATTGCAGTAAGCTGTGTTGTGCCACTGAACTCCAGACTGAGCAACAAAGTGAGACTTTGTCTCAAAAAAGAAAAGAAAATATTGTATATCGAAAATGTATTTAATGCACTTAATCTACTGAACACCACAGCTTATCCTAGTCTCCCTAAATGTGCTCAGAATACTTACCTTAGCCTAACAGTTGGGTAAAATCATCTAACACAAAGCCTTTTTATAGTAAAATGTTGAATACTTCATGTGATTTATTGAATACTGCACAGAAAGTGAAAAACAGACTGGTTGTATAGGTGCTCAAAGTATGGTTTCTCCTGAACGTGTGTCAATTTCACACCACCGTAAAGCTGAGAAATCCTAAGTCAAACTATCACAAGCCGGGGCTGTCTGTATCTGACAGGAGGAGTGCTTCAAGCAGAGAGGAACAGCAGGTACACAGACTGCTTTTTTCCTAACGTTTTATTATGAAAAATTTCCAATGTCTACAAAAAAAGTCGAAAGAACTGTACAGTGAAAAGGCATACACCTCGCAGCTAGATTCAACAATTAACCTTTTCATGCGTTCCGTTTTTGACATATCTACCCTAGATCCCCTGTGCTTTTTGCACCAGGTGACCTGCCTTGAAGATTTAGAGACAATATCTGGAACTGTAGTCAGAAAGCAGAGCTCTTTTGGAGGAGTCAGAGGGGAAGAGCAAAACCTCCACTTTTGACAAATCTGTCAGGAGAGGCCAACTGTGGGGACACCTCTGATTCCTAATGAAAGCCTTGCTGTTCAGCAAGGAGCTTGGCCCTCTCGTCAAGCAATGAACCCCTGCGGCTTCCTTGCTGGGGCAGGATCAGGTCGGACTGGGGGTGCCGTGGAACCAGGTGCCACTCACACCATGGTTGCCATGAGGCACAGGTCAGCATTACCTGGAAATCTTCAGGGTTCATCTTGCTGACATCTGGTGCCCCTAGGCAGGTGGTAGGCAGGTGGCTGCAGCTGGCTGCCTGGTTTACAGAGCCAGTTCTGGACCCAGGCCACTGGATGTCACATCCATTTATCCTCCTGCCACAGGGCAGTTCTTCCTTAGGAAACCCAGTCTATAGGAAGTACTGATTGGTCGAGCGTGGTGGCTCATGTCTGTAATCCCAGCACTTTGGGAGGTGGAGGCGAGAGGATTGCCTGAGCCCAAGGGCTGGAGACCAGCCTGGGCAACTTGGCAAGACCTCATCTCTCCAAAAAAAAAAAAAAAGAAAGAAAAATTAGCCAGGTGTGGTGGCGCACACCTGTGGTGTGCATGACTGTAGGCTGAGGTGGAAGGATTTCTTGAGCCCAGCAGGTTGAGGCTGCCGTGGCCGTGACAGAGTAAGACTTCAACTCAAAAAAAAAAAAAAAAAGAAGTACTGACTACTGGAAAGAGGCCAGAAATCAGAACCAGGGGCTACCCTGAGGAGAGCAGGCACTTCTGACCTCTGGTGGGAAAGAGTACCTTCCCCCTCACTTACTGTTGGGGTAGCAGAAGGGTTAGAATCCTATGTTCCTGGATTCTTAGAATTTGAAGACTTCGAAGTAATCTGGGCTGGAGTTAAGGGGCAAAACACACAGGTGCTAGAGTCAGACTGCCTGGGTTTCAATCCCAGCTACACTACTTACCAGCCCTGTGACCTTGGGGAAGTTACCTAATCTTTCTGTGCCTCAGTTTACTCATTCATAATATAAGGCTAATAGTACCCACTTCACAGTCATTAGCGCCTCACGTATGTAAAGTGTTAAGAAGAGTGTCCAAAAATAAGTGTGTAATAAATGTTCATCTGATAACGTATAATGCAAAAGTAGCCAATGTTTTAGTGGTTTGTAGCCAACTTTTTTTGATGCGTGTGCTAACATATTGTTATTATTTTATAAGAGCGAAACCATAAACACACAGTTTTCATAACTTGCATTTTCAGCCAACAGTGTATCCTCTGTTTCACTTTTGATTACCCTTATGAGTATGTTCCTCTGGCTTTTTCTGGGTATGTTCAGAACCACCACGATGGTGGCAAGTTGCATTTCCTGTAGTTTACTTAACGCATGCCTTGCTATTGGACATTAGATGAGTCTCAGTTTTTCCTTTCTTTTTTTTTCTTTTTTCTTTTTTGAGTTGGAGTCTCACTATATTGCCCAGGCTAGAGTGCAGTGGCATGCTCATGGCCACCACAGCCTCAATCTGCTGGGCTCAGGCGATCCTTCCACCTCAGCCCTCCAAGCAGCTGGAACTACAGAGGCACACCACCACGTCTGGCTACTTTTGTTTTGTGATTTATTGTAGAGACGAGGTCTCACCAAGTTGACCAGGCTGGTCTTGAACCCCTGTACTCAAGCAATCCTCTCACCTCGGCCTCCCAAAGTTCTAGGGTTATAGGCTGAGCCACCGCGCCCGGCCAGTTTTTTCTTTCTATAAATAAAGTTGTACCAAGCAAGAGGTGCCTAATGCCAACCGATTGTATTACTTGGGTATGACTTCTCTGGGCTTTCGTTTCTTCATCTAAAAACAAAACGACAGCCGGGCTTGGTGGCTCAGCCTGTAATCCCGCGCCTTTGGGAGGCTGAGGTGAGTG